ATTAAACTAATGTTATTTTGAAAAACAATTCAAACATGTAAATTTAAGTATAAATTGGTTAATAAACATCCAGTGGCGTTTTATGACCACAATTATATTGTGATTACAAAAAAAGTTACAATACCATGAAATCACAATGTGATTTCCGTAATTAGACCCTGCTGCATCGGCTTTAAATGATAGAAACATCAGCGGTCGAGGGGAGAACAGGTGGACGTTGCAGACTTCGGATGGATACACGTTGGACTTTGTCTGAAGCGGCGTCACTGAGGGATGTTTCTGTCCTGGAGGCGATCAGGGAAAGACAACACAGAGATTATGACACGTTTAAACAAAGAGACTGTGAACCATGAATGAGGCTTGTATTAAAAACCAACAGAATCTAACCTTTGCGCAGGAAGGCAAGGCAAGTTTATTTGTATAGCACAATTCATACACAAGGCAACTCAAAGTGCTGAAAAAAATAAAGTATTAAAATCAAAAATATTTACAGAACATTAAAAAGAAAGATAATAAAAATATAAAATCCCTCAGTTGTATGCACAGCTAAACAGAACTGTTTTTAACCTGGTTTTAAACATTGTCAGAGAGGAGGCCTGTCTCACATCTTCAGGAAGACTGTTTTAGCAGCATGAATCTGAAAAGCAGCCTCCCCATGTTTAGTTCTGACTCTGGGCACTAACAGGAGTCCAGTCCCTGTGCTCCTCAGAGTCCCAGCAGGAGTCCAGTCCCTGTGCTCCTCAGAGTCCCAGCAGGAGTCCAGTCCCTGTGCTCCTCAGAGTCCCAGCAGGAGTCCAGTCCCTGTGCTCCTCAGAGTCCCAGCAGGAGTCCAGTCCCTGTGCTCCTCAGAGTCCGGGCTGGTTCATATGGGACTAACATGTCACTAATATATTTTGGAGCGAGGCCATGGAGAGACTTGTACACAAGCAGAGCTGTTTTAAAGTCTATTCTCTGAGCCACAGGAAGCCAGTGCAGAGACCTGAGGACTGGACTAATGTGGTCGTACTTCCTGGTTCTAGTCAGGACTAATGTGGTCGTACTTCCTGGTTCTAGTCAGGACTAATGTGGTCGTACTTCCTGGTTCTAGTCAGGACTCGAGCTGCTGCATTTTGAATGTACTGCAGCTGTTTTACAGCCTGTTTGGACAGACCTGTGAGCAGGCCATTGCAGTAGTCTAACCTACTGGAGACAAATGCATGGATAAGAATCTCCAAGTCTGCTTTAGACACTATGTTTTTGATCCTGGCAATGATTTTTAGGTGATAAGAACAGGTCAAAACAATGGAAAGGTTTGCTCGGGCCTGTGAAATAATGAAGGTTTTGGTACAGTGCCTCCTGCAGGTCATGAGCTGAGTCTAAACCTGCAGGTCATGAGCTGGGTCTAAACCTGCAGGTCATGAGCTGGGTCTAAACCTGCAGGTCATGAGCTGGGTCTAAACCTGCAGGTCATGAGCTGGGTCTAAACCTGCAGGTCATGAGCTGGGTCTAGACACTTAACTATTATCATCAAAACAGTTTTATTCTATCACTAGTGTAGGATGGCTTCACACTACCACGTATCGAGGGCTTCTGCCACATCTTTCAGACAAGATCACCGTCTCACAGCTCTCAGGCCAAAGTGACTCACACGGCTTTTTCTAACAAGATGAAGACACGTGGCAACGGATAAAGAAGCCGAAGAAAAGGGATGGATGGTTGCAGAGCTCTGCATCATTAATCCAGCACGTCCAGGGTTGGTTGCGTGTGTTTATGGGCCTCTAAACCAGAAATAAATAGCAGAAAATGTTCAAAATACACAATACTGATCTAACAGATTCAGTCAAAATCTTTTGTATCGCGGCATGGATTCTCTTCTTCTCTGGCCCCTAGAAAAGTCATGTTCCAGCTTCTTCCTTCTGGCAGTGGCAGAAGATATTGTTTATTGAGAAGCAGGACATCTGGATATGCTAACGTGCTAACAGCTTCTTTCCACAAGCTGTTATCAGTCTGAACAAAGCACTTTAATGTTCTTGCACTTGTATTTAAACTGTTTTTGTTGATCAAATAACAGTGACTATCGTTTCCTTTGCACTTTTTTTTTTGTTTTTAGCTTGTTTGATTCCTGTATTTTTGTTTTACTGATGAACTAGTCTGCTGCACACTGGGGACTTAGACACATGCATTCCAATGTGGTTCAACAAAAAAAGAATACAAATCTCTTTCTCTGTGAATTACATAAGTGCACACACTCAGTCACCAGAGCCTGGAGTGGCATTATCCCTGACCTCCACACGATACACACCCATAGCTCTATTCCGCTTGGCCGACATCTCCCACACCCTCTCCCCCTCTCCCCCACTCCGGAGCACTCTCCCCTGACCACTGTGCCCAGGCCTGGCTGCAGGGACACTCTGCCATTTCCTCCCATACAACACCAAGTCTTTATGCGCCTCTTTTGTCTCCTCTGCCTACGTTCTTGATTCCCAGTTTCTATTTTGTGTGCGAGTTGCGGGGCTGGCATGTCCTGGGGCAGTGGAGGAGATGGCTGAGTAAAAGCACGGGAGAGGAAGAGGAGGGAGGGCAGTTCAAATCCCTTTTGCGTATGAATCGGATAATCGCTCACAAACAATTGGAGATGGGGGGAAAGTGGGGCGTACAGGCCAGAGATGAGGCTTTGAATGATGTCCTGATGCATGCACCAGCTCTTTAGGCCCTGGACACAGCTACAGACCCCATGGGACCAAGAATGTGCTTTTGTCTGCTCTGTCGTGATGTTTTGTATAGTTATGACGTCAAGAGCAATTCAGGTCTCTCACACTGACTCTGCTAAAGAAAATAAACCAGGATGCATGCAGGTTCAGACCTCTCCTGTCTCAGAATACATGCAATAGGGGTAGGGCTATAAGAAACCGGAGCACCCTGAGGAAACCTACACAGACACAGAGAGAACATGCAAACAGAGACGCCTGGGAATGGAAGCGAACACAGGACCGTCTTGTTGTGAGCCACAAGTGCATACAGTACAGTAAATGTCTATAGTAGCCCCAGTCTGGAGTGGTGTCCGTGAACGCTTCTTGGTGGACATACCTGCATGCAAAAGCCAGGGCCCGTCAGACCTCTGAAGCTAAGCAGGGAAGGGCCTGGTTAGTGCTGTGATGGGAGACCTCCACCATATACAACATCCCTTTGAAGTGTGTAAAAGCAGATGTGTAGCAGCAGGCCCTCTGTTCCAGTCTCAGCTGATCCAACCACGTCAGGTCGCTGGGTACTTCCACCACACACACTACAGGCATTCACCTTTCACCATGTTTTCTTTTTGACCACTACTCTTCTCTTGGCACGTCCGCTGTTTGCTGATTGGTTCATTTCTCTGTCATTCTGTGTGCGAGAGGCCCACTTTTCAGTCTATACAATTCAAATATTTGTATATAGCTTCAAATCACAACAGTCTTATCTCTAACAGTTATCTCTGGGGACTTTACTGTCGACACAGATCAGAGAATCAAACAGTTCAAACACAAAAACGGCAATGATAAAAAACACATAGAGCCATTGGTCCATAAGGAGCAGAGACCAATGTCCATAAAAGGCGGTCAATGTTGAGTGTCCATCACCACTGTCCTTAGACCCTCCTGCATTGGAAAAAAGAACAGAAGAGAAGTTAGCTGGCTTTAAAAACATGCTTAATCTTCATAATCACGTGTTAAAAAAAAAAAAAATAGAAAAGAAAAAGGCGGGAAACTTTGACTGTTGTGTAAAGAGCTCAGAAAGCAACATACTTTGACTTTTGTAGACGGGACAACAACGACTGAAAAAACTTGCTGAACTTTTACCTCTGCACTATTGGAAGTTTGCTGGTTGGTTCTGCGACTGTGTGGTTCGGTGACTTAACAGACAAAGAAAGTAGACCAGAGAGAGACCAGAGAGAGACCAGAGAGAGACCAGTGAGAGACCAAAGAGAGACCAGAGAGAGACCAGACAGAGACCAGTGAGACCACAGAGAGAGACCAGTCAGAGAGAGACCAGAGAGCGAGACCAGAGAGAGGTGCCTTAAATCCAGCTCTTAGATTAATCAATGACTCTTCTGGAAAAACCATGTTACAGCTTCTTCCCTCTGGCAGAAGATATCGTTGTCTGAGATGCAGGACATGCTAACATGCTAACATGCTAACACCTTCTTTCCACACACAGTTTTCAGTCTGAGCAAAGCACTTTAAAGATCTTACAAGAAACGACAACTGTCTTTTTTTTGGCTTGTTTTATTTATGTACTTATGCACAGTGGGGACATGTATTCCAATGTGGTTTTACCGCTGAATGAGTCTGAACCGGAACAGATCGGAGTCACACGGGTCGCGGCAGGAGGATGAGTTTGTGTTGGCAGCAGAGACACCGGAGCGCTTTCACAATGAGGGTTTAAGCCAAAGCCTCTTTACTGGAGAGGGGGGGGGGGGGGGGGGGGGACACGGGACGGCCTAGATTAACCCTAATCTGAGCCACCATTGCTGTAGGTGAAGTCCGAGCTGCACCCGCAAGAGCCACCACCCTGTCCCATGCACCACCAGGACCAGGACCAGGACCAGGATCAGGGCCAGGTGGTGGGACAGGGTGCTGAGGCTGGGGCTGGGGCTGAGCCGGGTGGGGGGGAGGGAGTTAGGAAGGGAGGGGGGGGAGGTGTTGCTAGGGAGAACAGAGAGACAGAGGAGGAAAAGCAGATTATGCAAAGAGAATGGAGTATTTATGGTTATGTGATCATCCAAAGAGAGCTGTCCCAGCACTGTAAAAAAAGAAGCTCCCTCAACTTGACATCAGAGTGCTGCTTTTATTCGTTTATTCCAAATATTGTTACTCCACGTTCAGAATAATGTCGAGGGAAAGTCCACAAACTGTTGATGGATGTTTTAGGTCAAATGTATGGTCTGTGTCAATAATTGCTTGTAGAATAATTGATACAAGGAAATAGATAAACGGACATTTCATCATAATTTTCAATATCCGATTTATGGTCCGTCACGGTCCCCCATGGTCTACCACAGCCCCTCACTGTCTCCCACTGCCTACCACTGTCTCCCACTGTCTCTCACTGTCTCCCACTGTCTCCCATTGTCTCCCACTATCTCCCGCTGTCTCCCAGTGTCTCCCACTGCCTCTCACTGTCTCCCACTGCCTACCACTGTCTCCCACTGCCTCCCACTGCCTCCCACTGTCTCCCACTGTCTTCCACTGTCTCCCACTGTCTTTCACTGTCTCCCACTGCCTCCCACTGTCTCCCACTGCCTCCTACTGTCTCCCACTGCCTCCCACTGTCTCCATCTGCCTCCCACTGCCTCCCACTGTCTCCCACTGTCTTTCACTGTCTCCCACTGCCTCCCACTGTCTCCCACTGCCTCCCACTGTCTCCCACTGCCTCCTACTGTCTCCCACTGCCTACCACTGTCTCCCACTGTCTCCCACTGTCTCCCACTGTCTCCCACTGCCTACCACTGTCTCCCACTGTCTCCCACTGTCTCCCACTGCCTCCCAATGTCTCCCACTGCCTCCTACTGTCTCCCACTGCCTACCACTGTCTCCCACTGTCTCCCACTGTCTCCCACTGCCTCCCACTGTCTCCCACTGCCTCCTACTGTCTCCCACTGCCTACCACTGTCTCCCACTGTCTCCCACTGTCTCCCACTGTCTTCCACTGTCTCCCACTGTCTCCCACTGCCTCCCACGGTCTCCCAGTGTCTCCCACTGTCTCCCACTGTCTCCCACTGTCTCCCACTGTCTCCCACGGTCTCCCAGTGTCTCCCACTGCCTACCACTGTCTCCCACTGTCTCCCACTGTCTCCCACTGTCTTCCACTGTCTCCCACTGTCTCCCACTGCCTCCCACGGTCTCCCAGTGTCTCCCACTGCCTACCACTGTCTCCCACTGTCTCCCACTGTCTCCCACTGCCTCCCACTGTCTCCCACTGCCTCCTACTGTCTCCCACTGCCTACCACTGTCTCCCACTGTCTCCCACTGTCTCCCACTGTCTTCCACTGTCTCCCACTGTCTCCCACTGCCTCCCACGGTCTCCCAGTGTCTCCCAGTGTCTCCCACTGTCTCCCACTGTCTTCCACTGTCTCCCACTGTCTCCCACTGTCTCCCACTGTCTCCCACTGTCTCCCACTGCCTACCACTGTCTCCCACTGTCTCCCACTGTCTCCCACTGCCTCCCACTGTCTCCCACTGCCTCCTACTGTCTCCCACTGCCTACCACTGTCTCCCACTGTCTCCCACTGTCTTCCACTGTCTCCCACTGTCTCCCACTGCCTACCACGGTCTCCCACTGTCTCCCACTGCCTCCCACAGTCCCTCACGCCCCTCACGGTCAATTTTAATTGACTATAGAGTTGTGTGTGCTGGTGGAATATTTTCTTTGTGTAAAGTTTCCATGATTAACCTGCAGTTCAAGAAAAACTAGGCACCGGTTGAAAAATCGAATAGTGATTTACAGTATGCAGAATAATACATGTTTGAACCTCACCCAGATGCCCTGTCAGTCCTCTTGGGCAGGCGCTGGTCTTCACACAGATGCAGTGTAACTAGGCCAACATTCAGGCCACATTACTCCCTCAAATCTAAAATCACGTTATTGCCGTGTGTTCCAGTGTCTGTGGAGCGCTCTCTCTGCTCATGTGTGTATGTGTGTTCTCAGCACAACGGGTTTATGTGCGGAGAATGCTGCCTTTAGTCTCAGAGATGAAGACGGAGCAGAGGGGACAGCCGCAAAAAGAATGATTCTGACAGCTCTAAACAGCTCTAAACAGCTCCGGAGTTCAGTGAGTTTAGAGCTGCTGTAGTTTTACCGAGATTTATATGACACCCTGCGCCCTCTGTCCAAAACTACGACTGTCTGTTCAAAGCAGATGGACGATAAGGAAAAGACAACAGCCATTTTGGAGGCCCGTCTGGATCTATGGCCTGAGTCCTGCGTCTACAGCCTCAGTCCTGAATCTACAGCCTCAGTCCTGGATCTACAGTCTCAGTCCTGGATCTACAGCCTCAGTCCTGGATCTACAGCCTCAGTCCTGGGTCTACAGCCTCAGTCCTGAATCTACAGCCTCAGTCCTGGATCTACAGTCTCAGTCCTGGATCTACAGCCTCAGTCCTGGATCTACAGCCTCAGTCCTGGGTCTACAGCCTCAGTCCTGGATCTACAGCCTCTGTCCTGGATCTACAGCCTCAGTCCTGGGTCTACAGCCTCAGTCCTGGACCTACAGCCTCAGTCCTGGATCTACAGCCTCAGTCCTGGATCTACAGCCTCTTTCCTGGGTCTACAGCCTCAGTCCTGGACCTACAGCCTCTGTCCTGGATCTACAGCCTCAGTCCTGGGTCTACAGCCTCAGTCCTGGACCTACAGCCTCAGTCCTGGATCTACAGCCTCAGTCCTGGATCTACAGCCTCTGTCCTGGGTCTACAGCCTCAGTCCTGGACCTACAGCCTCTGTCCTGGATCTACAGCCTCAGTCCTGGGTCTACAGCCTCAGTCCTGGACCTACAGCCTCTGTCCTGGATCTACAGCCTCAGTCCTGGATCTACAGCCTCAGTCCTGGGTCTACAGCCTCAGTCCTGGATCTACAGCCTCTGTCCTGGATCTACAGCCTAAGTCCTGGGTCTACAGCGTCAGTCCTGGATCTACACCAGTGGGGAAATGTCAGTGTTGCATCTGCAGTTAGAGAACAGTAGGAATGAGGAGCACACAGAAAATACAACATCTCTAACTTTAGCAGAACAAAGAAGCAAAGTGTAAATACTGTGTACTATAGAAAGAGATGCGCTGGAAACGGCAGAAAGTCCTAAGTCCCTGAAACCGTTTTTTTGTGCTTTACAATTGTTTTTTTTGTTACTGCAGTTCAGTGTCCATGGTTTTGCACTGGTCCAGACCAGAGCAGAGAGGATTCATGGTCCGAAACAAGAGGATCAGGCAAAAATCCTGTTAGCAAAAAATATCGTTAGCTATTTTAGAATTATCTTTTTGTTATTTTAGTTTGGGTGGATAGATGTGTTTCTGCTGCTACTGGACACATGCAATTCTCCCATGGGGATCAATAAAGTATCTATCTATCTATACATTTAGACATTTACACATCTGTACATGTTGCAGCACGAGGCTCTGACACATGTGCTTCCATAATGAACATTCTGACATTTTTTCTAATTATTATTATGGCACAGATAAGTAAAGTCAACTTCTGGATTTGTATAATTTCTGTCACTCTGGTTCATCTTGAAATATTCAAATACAACTGAAAAATCACAAATCTAAAATACAAAAATTCTACTTTTCTTCTTCACTTATGTGTTTGCTTTTCCTGGAGTTATACAAAGATATTTATCGATCGGGCTTCGACAGACAGCAGGTGGTCGTGTCCCGAGATGAGCAGAGATTTGCCTGTGTTTCGCTGCCGTGTCTTTTTTTGCAGTGCGCTCTGAGGTTTGGTGCAGTGGTGGCTGTGGCTCTGTCCTGGTGCTTGGGATTACAGGCCCCTGGTAATCCGCTGTGGAGGCTCTATGTAGGCCAGCCCTGGCTTATCCCGGGGCCCAGGACTGCAGCTCCGACAGTGCAGCTCCGACACCCGCCCAAGACTCTGCCATTGTCACGAAATACTGCATCACAGAGGCAGATGGGCAGCGGGTCAAGTCCCCCTCTCCTATGGCTCCCACACCAGTCCAAGTTCATGAGGACATTTCTCTGATCAGTTAATGGAGAATCCGCACATTTTAAAGTCCTTTGAGAAAAGTGATTAAAAAAAAGAAAACGGAATGAATCAAGGACAGATTCAAGTAGACTATGTCCAGTCCAGCCTCAGTCCTGGATCTACAGCCTCAGTCCTTGATCTACAGCCTCAGTCCTGGGTCCACAGCCTCAGTCCTGGATCTACAGCCTCAGTCCTGGGTCTACAGCCTCAGTCCTGGATCTACAGCCTCAGTCCTGGGTCTACAGCCTCAGTCCTGGGTCCACAGCCTCAGTCCTGGATCTACAGCCTCAGTCCTTGATCTACAGCCTCAGTCCTTGATCTACAGCCTCAGTCCTGGATCTACACCAGTCACAGTTCATAAGTGCATTTTTCTCGTTTCAGAGCCCAGTGTGATGTCACATGAATCCACAGAGAAATGGTCTTTCCTCGTCTCTTTTCCTGGAGACATGTGTTTGGGACACGCATCGTAATCGCTCAAATATAGACGCCTCCATTTTTCAAAGCAACCAAATTATTTGAATAGATATAGACAGATATGTGAGGAGTATTTTCCACCAGAGAATTGCTAGAAGAAGTGCTAGTTACCATAGCAACACACTATATACTGTCTGAAGATAGCATTGGCCCTTCATAAAAGTGAAGGGAATGTCTCAGATTTCCATTGGTTTGAATCAGAGCAGTAAAAGTGTCGGCTCTGGGAGTTCTTGTAGTTTCAGAGTTCTAGGAGTCCTAGTGTAAAAAATGGAAAAAGTCCTCACAAATAATACTCAAATCTGGAATAAATTATTTCCCTAAAAATTGTGAGTTATTAGACACAAAACACAGGAAGTGTTCTCTTTGTAGCATCATGAGCTGTGTTTATATCTGCACTGGGAAAACCTCACTTTGCTCGACATGGGAGACAACTAAATGAGCAATAATATATAAATACTTGTAAATAGAGTTTTGTGGAAGTGTCTGTCCCCACGAGGCTCAAGTCCAGTTCTGAGCTGGTGTGTTGCATTTGGGCGATCTTTGCAGAGGGATTAGAACGGTTAAAAATGCATTTGCCCCACTCTCCCCTTCAGTCAAAACAGTGCTTGTGTTTGTGATCAAAACTCAAAGACCAAAGTGGAGTTCAGACAAGTTTTCCAAGTGCAGAGTGGGACCTGGGGCTGTGAGGTGAACCAGGAGAGCACCAGGCCCAGTGAGGAGACCTGCTACAGATGGCATTATCAAACTGCTTTGGCTCTTGGTGCAAACAGTCCTGCGTAGAGAGGTAGAGAATAGAGTAAAGCATAGTAAGAATCAGCATAATCAGCATACAAAGACATAAAACTGTAAATATTACAGTGATTACATTATAAGTAAGGTGACCTTATAAAGGGCTGTTAGTCTCATGAAGTGTTCATGAGACTAACAGCAGAGGGGAAGACATTTTCTTATGGCGGGGGGTTCTAGTCCTGGTGGACCGCAGCCTCCTGCCTGAGGGGAGTGGTTGGAATAGTCCATGTGCAGGGTGAGAGGGGTCGGCTGTGATACGACCAGCCCGGCCTCGAGCTCGGGCGACGTACAGGTCCTGCAGCGATGGAAGGCTGCGGCCGATCACTTCCTCTGCAGAGTCTCTGTTTGTCACTGACTGTGGCTCCAGCGAACCACACGGTGATGGAGGGGGTGATGGAGGAGGTGATGGAGGAGGTGATGGAGGAGGTTATGGAGGAGGTGATAGAGGAGGTGATGCAGGAGGTGATAGAGGAGGTGATGGAGGAGGTGCTGGAGGAGGTGATGGGGAAGAGATGAAGGAGGCGATGGGGGATGTGCTGGAGGTGGTGCTGGAGGAGGTGATGGAGGAGGTGCTGGAGGAGGTGCTGGAGGAGGTGAGGATGGACTCGATGATGGCCGTGTAGAACTGCACCAACATCTGTGCAGGCAGCTTGGCTTTAGTACATCCTCTGCTGGGCCTTTACCAGAGGAACACGGCTCCAGTCTGCACTTTGCCGAACCTTTTCTAAAGTATGACGTCATTTGTGGTCTGTTCCAAGCCTCAGTGTTCCTCTCTGATGCAGGACGGTCTCAGGACAGGGCTGATCAGGGAGATTGAAGAACATTTCTGGACAGTGATCATCCCGCTCCCTATGGACTGGTGGCCCCTCTGTGATTGTTATTATTGCATTTCCTGTGCTCCAACTGTTGGTTTTATTGAGCAGTTGTTGGAGAATCTACACATTTTAAAGTCCTCCAAGACAACTGTTTCAAAAATAGCTGAAAATGAATTGAATCAAGGACAGTTTCAAGAACATGTATGTCCAGTGCAGCCTCAGTCCTGGATCTACAGCCTGTCCGTCCATAGGAGTGGATCCCTCTCTCTCTCTAACACAAGGTTTCTGATTTTTTTTTACGGCTTTTCTTTGTCCTTGTGGTTCCTCTCTGATGCAGGAGGGTCAAAGGACAGTCATGATTCTTTCTGCACATTTAAGACCTTTCTGGACAGTGGTCATCCCACTCTCTATGGACCAATGCCTCCATGTTCCCTTTCTAAAAAAGTTTTTAAAATGAATGCAAACAATGCTAAATATGTGTTTTCTAACGGACTTTAGACTCAAGTTTATAGATCCAATACATTCTTGTGATGCTATCTACGTGTCTGTGTAATTATGAATACATTCCTCTGCTGTCTGTTTTAGCATCAGATTCTCCCAGCGTCAAATGCTATGGACTAAAACACATTGTACGGTCAGACATGGGTTTGTTTATAATCATGTAGCAACATTACTCTAGTTTGAACTTTCCTCCTGTGCTCTCGCAACAGCATGAGAACATAGCTGTTCCCTTTAATTCCAGGTCATTTCCTAATCTCTTTGATACCCATCACATCTGCAGCTCTACACTTCACTCACTGACAATCAAGCAGCTGCAATCTGGCACTGTCCCCACTCTGAGACTCACACAAGCACATGCTACACACTGTCCTCGCTATGACACACACAAGCACACACTACACACTGTCCCCAATCCGACACACAAGCACACACTACACACTTTACCCGTTCCAACACACACAAGCACATGGTACACACTGTCCTCGCTATGGCACACAAAAGCACACACCACACACTGGCCCCACTCTGAGACACACACAAGCACACACTACACACTGTCCCCAATCCGACACACACACAAGCACACACTTCACACTGTCCCGCTCCGACACACACACAAGCACACACTACACACTGTCCCCAATCCGAATACTGTCCCCGCTCCAACAAACACAAGCACACACTACAAACTGTCCCGCTCCGACACACACACAAGCACACACCACACACTGTCCCCACTCTGACACACATACAAGTACACACTTCACACTGTACCCGCTCGACACACACACAAGCACACACTTCACACTGTCCCGCTCCGACACACACACAAGCACACACTATACTGCCATGCTCTGACATACACACACAACAGACTGTCCTCGCTATGACACACACATAAGCACAAAAAATCTACACACTCACACTGTCCTTACCATGACACACACACACATGATGACACACACTACTCACTGTCCCCACTTTGACACACACGAATACACACACTACACACTGTCCCAACTATGACACACACAAGCAAAAAACAATACACACTTTCCCCACAAGCAAAAAACAATACACACTTTCCCCACAAGAACAAACATTACACACTGTCCCCACTTTGACACACACATGAGCAAACATTACACACTGTCCCCACTTTGACACACACATGAGCACACATTACACACTGTCCCCACTTTAACACACACTACTCACTCACACGACAAAACAAGGAATAAGAATAGGATTTATATCTTTGTGAAAACTCTTGTCTACTCAGATATTATGGTCCCAGCTGGATTCTTCTGCATACCTAGCAACCTGAACAGTGGCGGAGCCAGACTTTTAAACAGAGGGTGGCCAGGGGGTGGCAAGGGTTTTTTTGAGGGGTCCACATTTATACTATTCCGAAATTTTATTTCGCACAAAAACTGGCTAAACGATACATTTTAATCTTAATCTTGTCATTATTTTTAATATAAAGTGAACTGAGAGCACACTTGGAAACTACAAAGCAAAAAAGTGTGTTTAAATAGTAGTCTGAACAAAAAAGTGCAAAATAACATCATTCAAACATTGCATTACATTTTTCTTTTAACAAATTTAGCAAATTCCTACGGTTCTGGTGTAAAGCAGCAAAGATGTTGACAAACTCATCCATATTGAGCCCTGAGCCTCCTTTACCCTACACTGAGGATACCAAGATGACTCAATCATCTGCCATGGTAGTTCTGAGATGGTTTTTAGGGCAGAGAAACTTATTTCATAAGACGCAGTACTGACAGGTATTAAAAAGATCTTTGCAAGCCTCAAAAGCTCATGAAACACTTTCCAAACGTTCCAAAAGGACAAGGAAGTCCAATAAGGACTCTCTAATCCATTTTTTCCTCCCAAGAAGCCGCCTAGTTTGACGTACTTCATGCTTAACGTCCTCTATATCTGACTCAAAGGTTCTGCCAAATGAAAACAGGGGCTCTTCTTTCAAAAATTTTTGGGGTCAAGCGACTGCACATCATCCATAATCTTAGCTATTTTGTTTCTTTTTTTGTGTGTGAAAAAAACGCCTTCTGCCAATAGACAATCCTGCACCTGTCTGCGACACCCTCTCATTCTCTGAAACTCAATTATATAAGCTATATTTTAATACAACACAACAAATTCCTCATCATCTTAAAACATACTGCCTCAGAGTCTGACCTTCAGGTTTCATCATCCTGATCTACAGCCTTTTCCTAACAAAAAAAGGCCTGTAGGCAATGTTTCCTCCTTTTCTTTTCATGTTTACACTAAAGGGAAGAGGGCGATGATACGATGGGCAATTAATAATGGAAAATAAACACGCATGCACCCCGCACGCACACAGGCACGCACACACACACAGGCACGCACACACGCGCACAGGCACGCAGACCCACGCAGACCCACACAGGCACGCACACACACGCAGACCCACACTGGCACACACAGGCACGCACACACACGCAGACACACTGGCACACTGACACACGCACACAGGCGCGTATACAGGCACGCACACACACATACACACACTAAAAGTTCTACAAACTGAACAAGTAATGCTGCAGTACGTGTGTCTATACTTTGTGTCAAATGTAAACGGTTGGCTCTGCGTCGCTAACTTACCCCTTTGTTTTCATCACGACTTGGGCACATGTGAGTCCAACAACCCAAAACATTATCATACAGCACCGGCTCCACACGGAGTCAGGGTGCGTTCACAGACGGGGGAAACCGTGGGAATTTTTAGCTTTTGCCGGAAAAAGAGCGGAAGATTGTCAAGATTAACATTATTACATTGCCGTCTTCCGAGGGGGGCACTGGGGGTGGCAAGGGTATTTTTAGAGGTGGCAGTGGCCACCCTGGCTACCCCTCTGGCTCCGCCACTGAACCTGAATCAGGAAGAGTGGACCACTTTAGGCCAGATTTGTACACACTGCTCCTTTAAAAAGTCATCTGAAACGCGTCACGTGCCGCTGCCACAATAAAGGATTTTGAACTTACAGGTTTACAGGAGGATTTTCCCCAATTTTAGAAAAGAACCGCCCTCTCCACTTTTTGAACAAAACTCTCTGGTCTTATTGGACGAGCACGTATCAACAGAATACGCCTTGGTCATATCATCACTGCAATATCCTGCAGAAATACAACATTCTCAATTTTCAAAACTTTATCAATTTAAAAAACTGTTGCCTTGTTTACAAAGTACTTCATGGTCTTCCCCGCCCCCACTCTCAAAGGTCGGTCAGAGGAGGTCGGTCAGAGGAGGTCGGTCAGAGGAGGTCAGTCAGAGGAGGTCAGTCAGAGGAGGTCGGTCAGAGGAGGTCGGTCAAAGGAGGTCGGTCAGAGGAGGTCGGTCAGAGGAGGTCAGTCAGAGGAGGTCAGTCAGAGGAGGTCAGTCAGAGGAGGTTGGTCAGAGGAGGTCGGTCAGAGGAGGTTGGTCAGAGGAGGTCAGTCAGAGGAGGTCGGTCAGAGGAGGTCAGTCAGAGGAGGTCAGAGGAGGTCAGTCAGAGGAGGTCAGTCAGAGGAGGTCAGTCAGAGGAGGTCGATCAGAGGAGGTCAGTCAGAGGAGGTCGATCAGAGGAGGTCGATCAGAGGAGGTCAGAGGAGGTCAGTCAGAGGAGGTCAGTCAGAGGAGGTCAGAGGAGGTCGGTCAGAGGAGGTCAGTCAGAGGAGGTCAGAGGAGGTCAGTCAGAGGAGGTCGGTCAGAGGAGGTCAGTCAGAGGAGGTCAGTCAGAGGAGGTCAGTCAGAGGAGGTTGGTCAGAGGAGGTCGGTCAGAGGAGGTTGGTCAGAGGAGGTCAGTCAGAGGAGGTCGGTCAGAGGAGGTCAGTCAGAGGAGGTCAGAGGAGGTCAGTCAGAGGAGGTCAGTCAGAGGAGGTCGATCAGAGGAGGTCAGTCAGAGGAGGTCAGTCAGAGGAGGTCAGTCAGAGGAGGTCGATCAGAGGAGGTCAGTCAGAGGAGGTCGATCAGAGGAGGTCAGTCAGAGGAGGTCAGAGGAGGTCGGTCAGAGGAGGTCAGTCAGAGGAGGTCAGAGGAGGTCAGTCAGAGGAGGTCGATCAGAGGAGGTCAGTCAGAGGAGGTCGATCAGAGGAGGTCAGTCAGAGGAGGTCGATCAGAGGAGGTCAGTCAGAGGAGGTCAGTCAGAGGAGGTCGATCAGAGGAGGTCAGTCAGAGGAGGTCGGTCAGAGGAGGTCGATCAGAGGAGGTCAGTCAGAGGAGGTCGATCAGAGGAGGTCAGTCAGAGGAGGTCGATCAGAGGAGGTCAGTCAGAGGAGGTCAGTCAGAGGAGGTCGATCAGAGGAGGTCAGTCAGAGGAGGTCGATCAGAGGAGGTCAGTCAGAGGAGGTCAGTCAGAGGAGGTCGATGAGAGGAGGTCAGTCAGAGGAGGTCGGTCAGAGGAAGTCGATCAGAGGAGGTCGGTCAGAGGAGGTCGGTCAGAGGTCGGTCAGAGGAGGTCAGAGGAGGTCAGTCAGAGGAGGTCAGACAGAGGTCGGTCAGAGGAGGTCAGTCTTGGAACAACCTTCCTACAGACATAGGAGGATGCCCAAGATAAAGCTCTTGCATAATAAAATAATAATAAATCAGTCTTGCACTCATTAACTGTAGCTTGGATAGTTGTGTTTAATCTTTTGTGTTATTATTGTTGTGCGACCTGCCTCGGGACTGTGGATGTAAATGAGCAGTTTTGCTACAATCTGGCACATTTGAATAAAAGAAGGATTGACAACTGGGAGGACCAATAGTCTTGAAGATACACCCGCAAAATCCTCCCACATTCCCCTCGGACCTTTTCCTCTTTTCTTTTAATGAATGAAGCAACTTTTTCTGTGATTTGAACACATTTTGTCATTCTTGAAAAATGAATGATATATTTTTGTTTTGTTTTGCCTGTAAATGTGTTTGACTGTAGGTCTTCGTAAAACACTTTGGGCGAGAATTGTACTTTATAGATACACTTTTTGATAGATTGACTCAGTATTTGTCCTCTGCAGAGATACTACAGCTTCATATGTTTACGTCTGACTGTGAAGAGAAGAAGAGGAGGAGGGTGAGCAGACAGAGAGGAAGAGTGGGAGAAAAGTCTCGTCTTTCACCAGAGGAAAAATGTGTTTGTGCTCGTGCTGCAAATCCACTTTTCTCTCATTGATTTTCCACGAGACGCCTCTGACTCGCTGCCAATTACAATTTACATTCAGCTCTGAGCACAAACCAGCACACAGGTACCATCAGCACACAGGTACCATCAACACACAGGTACTAACAACACACAGGTACCATCAACACACAGGTACCATCAGCACACGGGTACCATCAACACACAGGTACCATCAACACACAGGTACCATCAGCACACGGGTACCATCAACACACAGGTACCATCAGCACACAGGTACCATCAGCACACGGGTACCATCAACACACAGGTACCATCAGCACACAGGTACCATCAACACACCGGCACCATCAACACACAGGTACCATCAACACACCGGTACCATCAACACACAGGTACTATCAACACACCGGTACCATCAACACACAGGTACCATCAACACACCGACACCATCAACACATAGGTACTATCAACACACAGGTACCATCAACACACAGGTACCATAGAAACACAGGTACCATCAGCACACGGGTACCATCAACACACAGGTACCGTCAACACACAGGTACCATCAACACACAGGTACCATCAGCCCAGCGGTACCATCAACACACTGGTACCATCCACACACAGGTACCATCCACTCACAGGTACCATCAACACACAGGAACCATCAACACACCGGCACCATCAACACACCGGTACCATCCACACATAGGTACCATCCACTCACAGGTACCATCAACACACAGGAACCATCAACACACCGGCACCATCAACACACCGGTACCATCAACACACAGGTACTATCAACACACCGGTACCATCAACACACAGGTACCATCAGCACACAGCTACCATCAACACACCGGCACCATCAACACATAGGTACTATCAACACACAGGTACCATCAACACACAGGTACCATCAACACACAGGTACCATCAGCACACAGGTACCATCAACACAGAGGTACCATCAGCACACAGGTACTATCAACACACAGGTACCATCAACACACAGGTACCATTAACACACAGGTACCATCAGCACACGGGTACCATCAACACACAGGTACTATCAACACACCGGTACCATCAACGCACCGGTACCACCAACTAGGGGTGGGAACCTAAGGGTACCTCACGATACGATACACGATACAAAGCTCACGATAACAATATTATCACGATATGACGATTATTGATATATTGGTTAGAAATATACAATATGCCGATTTATGGCATAAATAAAAGAAAAAATACTCTTTATTTCATGATAAATAGAATGGAGATGCGTAATGTAGCCATATATTAAGCATTGATACCAATTTAAAAAAAAACAATGTAAAGAAGAAAAAAAGAAAAAATCAAATTTTTTTTTTTCAAAATCGATATCGATACTTGGCAAATTCATATCGATAATCGAATCGCGGGAGAAAGTATTGCGATATATTGAAAAATCAATATATCGTCACACCCCTACCACCAACACACTGGTACCTTCCACACACAGGTACCATCCACACACCGGTACTATCAACACACAGGTACCATCAACACACCGGTAACATCAACACACAAGTACTATCAACACACCGGTACTATCCACACACAGGTACCATCCACTCACAGGTACCATCAACCCACCGGTACAATCAACACACCGGAACCATCAACACATAGGTACTATCAACACACAGGTACCATCAACACACAGGTACCATCAGCACACAGGTACCATCAACACAGAGGTACCATCAGCACACAGGTACTATCAACACACAGGTACCATCAACACACAGGTACCATTAACACACAGGTACCATCAGCACACGGGTACCATCAACACACAGGTATTATCAACACACCGGTACCATCAACGCACCGGTACCACCAACTAGGGGTGGGAACCTAAGGGTACCTCACGATACGATACACGATACAAAGCTCACGATAACGATATTATCACGATATGACGATTATTGATATATTGGTTAGAAATATACAATATGCCGATTTATGGCATAAATAAAAGAAAAAATACTCTTTATTTCATGATAAATAGAATGGAGATGCGTAATGTAGCCATATATTAAGCATTGATACCAATTTAAAAAAAAACAATGTAAAGAAGAAAAAAAGAAAAAATCAATTTTTTTTTTTTCAAAATTGATATCGATACTTGGCAAATTCATATCGATAATCGAATCGCGGGAGAAAGTATTGCGATATATTGAAAAATCGATATATCGTCACACCCCTACCACCAACACACTGGTACCTTCCACACACAGGTACCATCAACACACCGGTACTATCAACACACAGGTACCATCAACACACCGGTAACATCAACACACAGGTACTATCAACACACCGGTACTATCCACACACAGGTACCATCCACTCACAGGTACCATCAACCCACCGGTACAATCAACACACAGGTACCATCAACACACCGGTACCATCCACACACAGGTACCATCAACACAACGGTACTATCCACACACAGGTACCATCCACTCATAGGTACCATCAACACACCGGTACCATCAGCACACAGGTACCGTCAACACACAGGTACCATCAACACACAGGTACCATCAGCCCTGCGGTACCATCAACACACTGGTACCATCCACACACAGGTACCATCCACTCACAGGTACCATCAACACACAGGAACCATCAACACACCGGCACCATCAACACACCGGTACCATCAACACACAGGTACTATCAACACACCGGTACCATCAACACACAGGTACCATCAGCACACAAGTACCATCAACACACCGGCACCATCAACACATAGGTACTATCAACACACAGGTACCATCAACACACAGGTACCATCAAAACACAGGTACCATCAGCACACAGGTACCATCAACACACAGGTACCATCAGCACACGGGTACCATCAACACACAGGTACCATCAACACACCGGTACCATCAACACACCGGTACCATCAACACACAGGTACCATCAACACACCGGTAACATCAACACACAGGTACTATCAACACACAGGTACCATCAACACACAGGTACCATCAACACACAGGTACCATCAGCACACGGTACCATCAACACACAGGTACTATCAACACACCGGTACCATCAACACACCGGTACCATCAACGCACCGGTACCACCAACTAGGGGTGGGAACCTAAGGGTACCTCACGATACGATACACGATACAAAGCTCACGATAACGATATTATCCTGATAACGATTTTATCACAATAACGATTTTATCACGATATGACGATTATTGATATATTGGTTTGAAATATACAATATGCCGATTTATGGCATAAATAAAAGAAAAAATACCGGTGTAAAAGAAAAAATACTCTTTGTTTCATGATAAATAGAATGGAGATGCGTAATGTAGCCATATATTAAGTATTGATACCAATTTAAAAAAAAAACAATGTAAAGAAAAAAAAAAGAAAAAATCATTTTTTTTTTTTTTCAAAATTGATATCGATACTTGGCAAATTCATATCGATAATCGAATCGCGGGAGAAAGTATCGCGATATATCAAAAAATCGATATATCGTCACACCCCTACCACCAACACACTGGTACCTTCCACACACAGGTACCATCAACACACCGGTACTATCCACACACAGGTACCATCCACTCACAGGTACCATCAACCCACCGGTACCATCAACACACAGGTACCATCAACACACCGGTACCATCCACACACAGGTACCATCCACTCACAGGTACCATCAACACACCGGTACTATCCACACACAGGTACCATCCACTCACAGGTACCATCAACACACCGGTACCATCAGCACACAGGTACCGTCAACACACAGGTACCATCAACACACAGGTACCATCAGCCCAGCGGTACCATCAACACACTGGTACCATCCACACACAGGTACCATCCACTCACAGGTACCATCAACACACAGGAACCATCAACACACCGGCACCATCAACACACCGGCACCATCAACACACCGGTACCATCAACACACAGGTACTATCAACACACCGGTACCATCAACACACAGGTACCATCAACACACCGGTACCATCAGCACACCGGTACCATCAGCACACAGATACCATCAACACACCGGTACCATCAAAACACCGGCACCATCAACACACAGGTACCATCGACACACAGGTCAACACTTAAAGACTGGTATTGAAGCATTTACAGCTAGCTAACAAACATAGCTTCTACTTATTTTGTATAGTTTGTGTGCTCCCTGTGTCTCTTACTGCTGTCCTGTCTGTGCGCTGCAACACTGAAATTTCCCCACTGTGGGACGAATAAAGGAACTTCTATCTTATCTGATGTAAATGCAATTTGATTGATTGATATTGACTGAGTGATCCACTATAGGGAAGGACTGTAGACCCAGGACTGAGGCTGTAGACCCATGACTGAGGCTGTAGACCCAGGACTAAGGCTGTAGATCCAGGACTGAGGCTGTAGATCCAGGACTGAGGCTGTAGATCCAGGACTGAGGCTGTAGATCCAGGACTGAGGCTGTAGATCCAGGACTGAGGCTGTAGATCCAGGACTGAGATGGTAGACCCAGGACTGAGGCTGTAGATCCAGGTCTGAGGCTGTAGACCCAGTACAAAATGTATTTCTGATCTCCTCACATTATTTTCTTTTAATCTAATTTCTGACCAATGAGGTGAAAAGTGACCTGGACTCTGTTGGTCTCAGAAGTTACTGTCTGTGTCTGGTTTAATTGTCTTTCCTCAGGGTGAATATTATGGAGTATTTTAAATTATATTTATTTTGCTTTACTTTGTTAATGCAAAACTTCTCGCCAACCTGCCAGGCCCAGTCCCAGTTTATTGTGCAATTGTGCCAAGTTCCAGTAAGAGGTCGCAGCAGGTGGACTGAGCCGTGCGGGACTGAGCCGTGCGGAGCTGAGCAGAGTCCAGCGCTGTTTGTCCCAGTGCGCCCCCGGAGCCACGTGACGCACGGCCACGCGCTTCGCTGTGGGACCTGGACCGGACCCGTCCCACCGTCCTACTGTGACTCCGTGTGTGTGTGTGTGTGTGTGTGTGTCTGTGAGTGCGTGTATCCTCTGCAGCAGCATGTCCGCTCCCTCTGCCTCAGCTCTGCCGGCCCCGGGGCGCGCTCTGCCGGGGAGATCCCAGAAGATGCAGGTGGCAGGTAATCCGCGCCCTGACGCTCAGGGAGAGAAGCGCATCACAATACTCTGAACAGTGTGTTACAGTGTGTGTTGCAGTGTGTTGCAGTTTGTGTCACAGTGTGTTACGGTGTGTGTCATGTGTGCAGAATGTATACAGCGGGGTCTCCAGCCTTTTCCAATGGAGAGCACTCCTTTTTACAGTCATAATAAATATCTATGTAATAAAGAAGACAGAGAACACATGTAAAATATACTGTAACACTGCAGAAACGTCTATATTGGAGCTACCTGAAAGGGGCTGGAGAGCTACTGGTAGCTCCCGAGCCACAGGTTGGAGACCCCTGGTTTGTTCTAGTGTGTTCTTTAGTAGAGGCGGTGAGTGAGAGTGAGACAGTGTGGGTCTGAAACACACACAGAGGTGACCGTGGGAATGGTGTCTGTCGTTCTGGTCAGAATACTTTGGGAAAACTTAAGGATAACTTAATGGTGACTCTTTAAACTGATTTTGCATTCTATTCTGTAATATCTGCATCTGTGCTCAGAAAACACAAGCGTGAGGCCGTGACACAGGTGTAAAACATGTATTATTATTTTATTATTATTATCACATTTCTGCTTCTTCACACAGTACCACAGAGACTTAAAGGGCATGTGACGTGAGCTGTGTGCCATGGTAATACTATTGGTTCCCCACTTCTCTTCTAGTTATTTGGTGATACTTGCATGTGAAAGCCAGAAGCTAAGCAGAGCAGGGCTTGATTAGCATTGTGATGGGAGACCTCTTGGAACACCAAGTGCCACAGTGGGGCGACGGCGGCTGTAAAGGGCCAATCTGTTGTTATGTCCTTAGGGAAGACACTTCACCATCATTAGAATGGTGGGGGTCAGACATGTAAGTCAATGGGAGTCAGAGAAAGTTGGAGCAAAACTTCGTCCATGAGCACTTCTCTATTGGGCTTAATTGAGCAAGTGGGTTACCATTGTCCATCTGTGTACGGCTGTTGAAGACTGGTTTTATTTACTCTGCTAAAGCTGTGCTTGTGCTCATGATGTTCTGTTCTGTGTGTGTGTGTGTGTGTGTGTGTGTGTGTGTGTGTCTGTATGTGTGTCTGTATGTGTGTGTGTGTGTGTCTATGTGTGTGTCTATGTGTGTGTCTGTGTTAGATAAGGACAAGGGCAAGAGATTTCAACATTTATGTCCTCTCAATTGACAATTCAGTTCAACAGAGGACTGAGTCTGCATGTATAATGAGAACTCAAGCTAATCTCACTGGTAAAGTACCATGTGGCGCAGAACTAAAAAAGGTCTTGTTAGGATTCTCAAATCGTTAACGGCAAAACAAGGAATAAAACAGGATTTCTATCTTTGTGAAACAGGTGTTGGTTATAGATTTGTTGTTGACAAAACTCTTGTCTATTCAGCTGTTATGGTCCCAGCTGGATTCGTCTGCATATCTGGCAACCTGAGTCAGGGAGAGTGGGAGAGGCTGCAGAACCACTTTTGGCAGGATTTTTACATACTGCTCCTTTAAGATTTAACAAATAAAACTCAACTATAACTAATTCCAAAGCACAGGGTTTGAATACACACTTGGAGACACGTGTGGAGCAGGACCCACCGAACAGACAGGAAGTAACCTCAGAAAGACAAGAGAACCAGTACATCCAAATACAACTGGTCCAAATCCATGCGGTCGTTATGACACCAGCTCCTCTGAGGTGAGACTCGGGTTTGTGTGAGCGCGTGAGGAGGGGGCTTTGGCAATATTACATCGTGCTAATAATAGTCTGATTCATGTCCGTGCTGCTCTGTCAGCGAGTCTCACAAATCCATTTCTTTTCATTTAGAAGCACTTTGTAATCTTTATTTTTTCTTTCGCTAAAACTTCATATTGGAATTGCAGGTGGCTGTAAAAATGGGGCAATAATATTCAGGGTAAACTGTTTCTGCATGTATACTGAGACAGGAGAGGTCTGCATGTATACTGAGACAGAGGTCTGCATGTATACTGAGACAGAGGTCTGTATGTATACTGAGACAAGAGAGGTCTGTATGTATACTGAGACAGGTCTGTATGTATACTGAGACAGAGGTCTGTATGTATACTGAGACAAGAGAGGTCTGTATGTATACTGAGACAGAGGTCTGTATGTATACTGAGACAGAGGTCTGTATGTATACTGAGACAGGTCTGTATGTATACTGAGACAGAGGTCTGTATGTATACTGAGACAGAGGTCTGTATGTATACTGAGACAGAGGTCTGTATGTATACTGAGACAGAGGTCTGTATGTATACTGAGACAGAGGTCTGTATGTATACTGAGACAGGAGAGGTCTGTATGTATATTGAGACAAGAGAGGTCTGTATGTATACTGAGACAGAGGTCTGTATGTATACTGAGACAGGAGAGGTCTGTATGTATACTGAGACAGGAGAGGTCTGTATGTATACTGAGACAAGAGAGGTCTGTATGTATACTGAGACAAGAATGATTGTGGGAAAAGTCTAATTGTGTTTTATTGTGTAGCTTACTGATGGAAAGACAGTGACACTGACTCCAATCACAGCAGGTTTTCTGCTCTATTTTAAGGCCACACATCGTTGAGTATGTGTGCTTCTCTGACACAACCTTTCTTTTGTTTTACTTTTTAAATAGTGCATGAGTTAAAGCCATCACATGTTCAGGTGCGCTGCTCTCCGCCCCTCCCCCTGGCACCGGCCTCTTCTACAGGAAGCTGCAGTTCCTGGCCCATGGATGTATGGTATAATAATAATAATCATGCATCGCTTCACATGTCATTATTCATTCACTCCATACACAGTGGTGATAAACTACTACTGTAGTCACAGCTGCCCTGGGGCAAACTGACAGAAGCGAGGGAACCGGTGCCACCAACCATTCATACACACACCAGACTTAATCTGGGCAATACAGGTGAAGGGTCTGGCCTAAGGACACAACAACAGTTGGGCACAGCCGCACTGTGGCACCTGTTGTTCTCAGAGGTCTCCCATCACAGTACTAACCAGGCCCTGTCCTTCTTAGCTTCCTTTCACATGGTGTTGCTGCAAAACCCTACTCCACCTGGACTAGAGGCCACAGACGGTACTGCAGCCTAAATCCACACCGGCTGTAAGGAGACTCGTGCTCAGACCTGTTTTCACTAAAACAGCTCGTCCTCAGAGACCGAACTCCAGCTGTGAGGACTTTAGTGTGTCTTATCATTCTGTTTTTAATTTTAAATGCATCAGTTTTCTACAAAACTTTTGTGCCACAAACTCGGCTCGCTTCGCTCTATTCAGCAGCGCTCTGATTGGTCAGAACGTGGAAGTGGAACCACTGCACAAGACCAGGAGAACCAGAACTGACCAGAACACCTCACTTCTGCTAATGTTTGGGATGACGTATGAATCAAGCACAGGACACTGATCGGAATGAGCAGACATTCTGAAGAAACCAGGGGCAGACATCTTGGAGAGACCAGGGGCAGACATCTTGGAGAGACCAGGGGCAGACATCTTGGAGAGACCAGGGGCAGACATCTTGGAGAGACCTGGGCCAGACATCTTGGAGAGACCAGGGGCAGACATCTTGGAGAGACCTGGGCAGACATCTTGGAGAGACCAGGGGCAGACATCTTGGAGAGACCTGGGGCAGACATCTTGGAGAGACCAGGGGCAGACATCTTGGAGAGACCAGGGGCAGACATCTTGGAGAGACCAGGGGCAGACATCCTCAACTCGTCAAGCGCTTTGTGTGACCGTGGTCTGTAAATACATTTCTTCATTTGATTAGATGACTTCCTCACTTCATTAGACAGACTGACCCTTATGTCTGATGATGCGTCCTCTACAAATGACCCATCCGTGCACTGGGGTCTGTTGATGTTCTTCTTGGTCCGGCTCTGGACACCACAAGAAAAGACCTGGTCAGGCTTTGAAACTGCCTCCACACCAATGCTGCACATAATCCAATCTACTTTATTTATATAGCACCTCATAAACCGTTTACAAAGTGCTGCAAAATAAAAGATTAAAACCTCATTCAAATTCATCAATAACAGTAAAAATCATCCATCCATTGTCTTCCCCTTAATCCATTTACGGGTGGGGAGGGGCAGTCAGAGCACCAGCCCCTCACAGATCCTCCTGCAGGTGGAAGTCCACAGGAGGAAAAATCTTAAAAAAAAATCAAATAAGATTAAACCATATTATAATAAAAAATATACATAAAATAAAATAAAATTGTATTAAATAAAAGGACAATACAACAAAAAATGGGTCTAAAGACGATGATAAAACTCTCCACAGAAGCTGCAGTTTGGATGTGGGGGTGCAGATGGTTTGCCCACAGAGAAGGCCCGTTCCCCCATGAGCTGCAGCAACGACAGATCACAGAATCAAACTGACACAGGAAATGAAATAATAACAAACAAATAGGAGTCATTAGTCATTACAGAGAGCGGGACGACCAGTGTCCTGAAACATTCTGTATCGACAGGGAGAGTTACATGGAGGAAGGACGCAAGATTCAATACTGCAAAAATAAAATAATTTAATAAACAAGATTTCAAAAAACACAACTTAACTGAATGTTAAAACACCAGAACTACAGAAAAAGACCACAGAACAAACATTGAATGGACTGACAGCAAGAATAGAAAGAGCACAGGGAATTTAACGGGGAGACAGGTACAACACATCAGGGCGGGGCAATCCACAGAACAGGAAGTAAAACTCTAAAAGACACAGGCGAACAGGCAAGATAAAACAGGAACTAAAAATGGCAACCATGACAGGGAGTTGCACTGAACGGCCCCAGTACAAGTGTATCCAAAACACAGTACTGTGTGTGGACCATGTTTCAGGATGTTATCACAGGTATCCAGGATTGTTTGACAAATACTTTTGAAAGCCTTCTCCCTTCTCTGGGATGTAAGACAGGCGGCCGGTGCCTGTTGCTAACGTACGCATTGTTTGTGCTGCCTCTGACCTTGGCGCCCGGATCAGCGGCA